TTTTGGTTGAATATATACGAATTTTGAATTGGTGGTGAGATACCTGAAAGCAGTATCTATCCACGTGAAATTATACGCTATATATAGCTGAAATAGGTAAAATGAAGATGTCGAGCTTTCAATAATTATGTATAACATAAATCTGAACATCCAGGCGTTTAACTTTTATGCTAAGTGATATTTATTATACCCCTCGGACTTTACAGTAATAAATAACACAATTTATTCTCTATATTTATTTGAAAGTCTCAAGAGATATTTGAATGAAACTCAAAAGATGTATTCTCAATAGAAATATAATATGCGAAAAGTGATATCAAATTAAAAAGTATATTTTTTTGTCAAAATATCTAAAAATGCGCGCGTGCTTTGCGAGACAGGTCTTCTGATTGGCCACTTATATGTCAATTAATATAAAAATTTTAAAATGTGGTATAATTGCCAATAAGACAACCCTCCACAAGAGACCAAATGTCAAAGAAGTTAACAACTATAAGTCACCATAAGGTCTTCAACAATGAGCAAAACCCATACCTCTTAGTCAGCTAAAAAAAGGCCCCGAATGACAAATGTTAAACAATTTAAACGAGAAAATTAACGGCTTGATTTATGTAAAAACAATGAACGAAATACAAAAATGATATACAGCAAAAAACGGCATCCACTGAATTACAGGCTCCTGACTTAGGACAGGCACATACAGAATGTGGCAGGGTTAAACATGCTAGCTGGCGTCCCTTAACCTGGGACAGTGTTGTAACAGCACAACGTATGAACAAACTATAAAAATCAGTTGAAAAGGGCTAAACTCATCAGATCGATACAAAGCAGAAAAACAAGTAACAAAAACACTAACCAGACGTGGCAGGGTATTTATACATTCTAACAAAAAAGACTATAAGTACAGATCAGAGAGTACTCGCAGTTCCTGACAGCTAGTTCAAAGTCAATAACAACTAATAAAAAAATCATGTATCTAAGACTAAAGTATCAATCAGCACACATCCAACATCCATTGGATTTAGTGTAAAGACGTCATTAACAGTCAAGAGAAAAAATGACCTTCAAGGCTTGTGCATTGTATCAAATTGTAAATAACGAACTTTCAATTTATACTATTTATATTCATATTGTTAATGTGTTCCTGGTATCCATGCATTATGTTGAATATGTATTTTTGTCTGACGTCAAGGCGTCGGACAATAAGATTATTTTTTCCGACTTCTGTTTCAGTTGGTCACGGTAGGCGTTCACTGCTTTGTAATGTGGGTAACATTACATCGTGGTAATAACAAAGTAATAGCTGTTCTAAAACGTTTGTAGTTTCAACGATAATAGCTTTTCTAAAAAGCTTGCTATTACAATGGTAGTCGCTTTAAAAAAATGGTATGCTTAGTAAAATTAATAAATACTTTCAATGAGAGAATATCTGTTTCAGTTGTAGTTGGCGTCCATTGCGCTGCTATACGGTTATATTGTATTATTGCAAATTTAACAGCTTCTGTAAAGAGCTTCAAGTGTCCTGTCAAAGCTGATTATATACGAAACTGTTTGTGATATGCATTTCATAAAAGAAAAGACACATTTTGAATCATATCCATATTGGGGCGATGAATTATAGGAACTTTAAAATGTAGGTAATTTCTAGATAATCTGCAGTTTTACTTTTGTTATTTCAGCATAGATTTGGAACCAGTATGTAGATTTGGAACCAGTATGTAGGTTTTCTTATTTTCCTATCTTATCATTGGTTGGGAGAGTCCTATGTCATGCATCGTTGTTTAGATCCCCGACCAGATCACACCAAAGACTTGCGAATTGGTATTTTCTGCTTCTCCGCTACGCACGCTTCATTTAGGAGAGCAACGATTGGTCTGCACGAAGAAGGAATAATGTGCCCGGTTATGGTGGAATGTCCTCCTGTGGACTGTTACCATGGGAACAATTTTTTTTAAATCCGGCTTAATGTGTCTGACTATTAAACAGCAGGTCTTATTTCAAAATCTCACTTACGTGTTTCCGCATTGAATATGGATTTCACTTGCCATTGGACTTTAAACAGCCATTTATAGTCACCTTTACCTAATTGTTCAACGAAGTCAACTATTTAGGAATATAATTGGTCTTCCTAACTGTTGTAATAGTTTACAAATCATTACAATCTAATTCTATACAATAGTTATAAATCACCCACAGTTTTCAGTATGAAGAAAACAAAATAATAATCACTATAAGTATATGAAATATACTGTAAACACAATTCCCTTTTTTTGTAATTTTGATAGTATTATGCAAATGTTGAATCAAACCTTGGGTCAATTACATGCAAAATTAATTAATTACATTTCAATTACATTTCAATTACATTGATTTTTAAATGTAATTAATTACATTTCAACTACATTGGTTTTTAAATGTAATTATTTACAATTACATTGTCAATGTAATTAATTACATTCAATTTTTTTTGGTGCTATGAACTTTATATTATTGGATAGCATGTGAACCAGCTAGTTTGGGGATTTTTTACATGCATTGTTTAACATTTAAACATTTGCAGAAGCTTTGTTTTTATTTTGAAATTTTATATTCCATTTTAACATTTACTCGTTGATAGATATATGTTTGAAAGGCGTCTGTTATTTAAGTTTACCTTGCACAATATTTATTGTATTTCATGCTTTTCTATAAACAAAGTGCGTTTTTCAATTTAATCAATTCTTATCAAATTTTATAGTTGGTTTTTGTTTGTTTTTTGTTATTCTACTAAACCTATATTTTCTCTGGAAATCCTATGTTTGTCAAAATAAGAAACAAATACATTGGGAGGATCTAGTCAATAATTATTTGCGCTAATTAAATTTAGCACATACTTACAACTTCTAGTCCAATTAAATTGCTTGAATTTGCCTTCTAAGTGTAATAGGACATACTTTTTTCCATGTACCAAGTAACTATGCATGAATGACCACAAGAGTAAGATTTCATTGTGTCGTTTTCAAGATATTAAAAACAATTTATTGTTCCATTGTATATGGTTTGTTGAGAAATAAAGATATATATATCAGAGTAACAAGAAATGTTATTAAGCTACCAAGCAAATACTCCAGTGTGATTGAATGTAATTGAAAGTAAATGAAAAGTAGTTCATAATTACATGACAAAAAAGTAATGTAATTCATTACTTTCAATTACACACTACTTCAAATTACTATTAAATTTGTAATTAATTACATGTAATTTCAATTACATTTGTAATTATCCCAGGTCTGTGTTAAATTTAAATGGCAATATTTAAACATGTAAACTATAAAAAACAACTAAAGTCAATGAACCACGACTGAAGGTGTAGGTCCAAAAACCTCCATGTACATAAGAAATGCTAATGCTGAAAGACTGCATACCAAATACCATTGACTTATCATAAGTGGTTACCTTTAAACCAACCTAAACACAAACTTTTAGCTTGAAAACTCTTTAAATTTACAAAGTGAATGAACCATGATGAAGGTGCGGGGCCATACAATCTTAATGGAACTTAGACTTGCAAATGCTAATACAACTGCATACTACTTTACACTGATCTGATTATAAACTAATACATTAATAGTTTCAAGTTAATAGACCGTAGCTGAGGGTACAAGACCAAATAAGTTTCATTGAAATGAGATTTGCCACTGCCAATACAACTTCATACCAAATATCATTGATCTACCTAAAGTGGTTCTCCATAAACTGATCTAATCGCAAACTAATATTAGTACACAGTTGACACACCTCGCCGACGGAAACATCACGTCTAAGTCTCGCATTTTTCGACTTCGTCGAGACGAGACAAAAACTAATTGAGAGCACGTTTTCACCACAGCACATTTGATAATTTCATAGTTATCTGTTGTAAATAATATAATTACCAAAACTCCATATTTTATATTATATTGTCGTGGCAAATATAAGCTTCGACAGGATGTAGGATAATGAGTATTTTTTAGTTATGTTTTTTAATCTATCAAAAGCAAAATCAATGCTAGTACCGATAAAAACAATATCTAAAGATTTTACTATATTGTAAAATTGATAACCTTTAAGAAGTTTGCTCAAATGATGAATGATTTTTACGAGGATCGTATCTAAATTTACGGGCTTTTTAATCAATATCACAGTATAATATAGAATGTGATATTCCATTTAAAATAAGAATTCTACAGGTACAGCCAAACTTCCTAACCAAATCTTTGTATATATGAAAGAACTTGGTAAAAGTTTTGAATCATTTGTGGTAACGAAATCCCTGACTCATGACTAAATAATTTACCAGTTATACATAAATTATGTTCATTGAAATCTAAAACGCGACTAAAGACAGGGCATAGCTAACACGTTGTGAAATATACAGACCGTAAGAAGGGACCAAAGGAACATCACCGTCAAAAAAGAGAAAATTAGCAATAGGAAACGAAAAATTGTCTCTTTTGTCGTAAATTCTTGTACATAACTTTCCGTGTGAAGTTGAAATATCCAAATCTAGATAGGACAATTATTGCTGTATGTAGTAGAGTAATTCAAAGTAAGTTCCCTTGTGTGAATGTCCACAGAAAAATAAGAAAATTTGATTATTTAAAGCAAAAATATCGTCAAGGTAACGGTAGTTCTTTTAAATTTATCAATTAAATGTAATTAAGATGGATCTTTACTGTTTTTGGCCATAACTGTGTTTATACAAAAAAGGAAAAACTCTGCTAAAGGGGCGCAATTCGGACCCATAAGAACACATACAACGTGCTGATAAAATTCATTTCCAAAACGTACATAGATATTGTCAAGGAGAAAATTTACAGCTGTATAATGATCTCATCACAGCTCCAATAAGACTGTTTAATTGTCTTATTTCAGATTTATTACATAAACGATTCCAAATGAAATGCACTATAATTTTAATCGTCATTGGAATTAAATACGGAAGTGCATGGAAAAATGAATATGACCAGCTCCTACATTTCGATTGCTCGGATGGACAAGGAATATATCAAATAAAAGGTACGCACTCAACAGGACACAAGGATAGACGGTTCGATTTCAAATGCAGATCTGTAGGAGGGCAACAGAAATGTGCATATACTGGTAATTTGATTACTGATTATATAAATAATTTCTTGGCTGATTTTAATTTCAGTCAGTTTGTCACTTTGTATCTCTTGTCTCTTTTTATAACTTTACAGCACTGCAAAACATGGCAAGATAGAAGCACAGTCTTTAGTGACGAGATATTTATCATGAAGCTGCATTGTTCATCGGATATTTACATGGTTCAAAATGCAAAATTTTCAACTTTATGCACCACAATGATTACATATTTCTTTTTCTTTTTGCACGGTATTGCGAGAAATACTGATACTTTAATAGGTACAACAGCTTAGGTCAATTTTGATGTTATATTTGTTTCTCCGGATTGGTGATTTAAAATTTTTATCTACAGTAAGTCACAGTACCATAGCCTTATACTTTGAGTGTCTTGCAACAATATGATATACTAGTAGGCCTTTTTATCTTTTTACATACAACAGAAGCTAATTCAAGATTTAGGGGCGGCGTGATCCTTAACAAATTTCTCCGGTCGGAGCGATGCGTAACATTTTTGACGTTTTGTATGATACAGAAGATACATTGATGGTCTATTACATATATATGTTTTATTATTAAATTATTTTGTTTAAATTCTTAATGCCCAAGTGCAGTATTTCAAATCACGACAAGATCAGCATCATTGAATTGCCTTCATTAGGATTCTGATTTCACTGATATTTGACGTCTGGTTGGAATGGGAATGTAAAACACGTGATCATCGATGCCAAGCTTATCGATTGGGAACCCAGACGCTTGTTTTGTCTACATAAAACTTATCAACAGCTCTCGATTCAGGTGGAAAGTCAAATCAAATACGAAATTGAAGAGCATTGGAAATCAAAGCTTCCGAGAAGTTCTCTCAAATATGGTTGTCTATATATGATATTGCTAGAAGTATAGACATCCGATGCTTCGTGTAGGGTAAATACCACGCTCTCTCCACGTTAAAGAACCATTGAAACAAAGTGTAGTGGTCGGTTGGTGGTCTGTTGAAAGGTAAAATTTCTGACCCTAGCCAACATATCCTCATTTTCTAGCAGCAATTAAAATTTGTGGCCCTTTATCTCAGTCTTCCGATCTTTAAAACATTCCTGTTCTGTTTATTGCCAATGTGTCCCCGTCCTCTATATGTATGAAATATTTGCTACATAACTCAAAGCAAGAAACAATCAATCAAAAATTGATAATAAAAAATTAATAATTGTAAATATCTATTGATTTTTATATGAATACAAGAAGATGTCGAGTATAGGTAAATGAGACAGCAACTTAAATGCTTATAAATGATAACATTTTTTGTTAACGAAACAGGGGAACGAAGTATGGATGGACAATTATCGAGAGTTTTGAAAGATCGGAGATAAAGCATCAGCAGTGGTCCCCTCTGAGCCTGCTCTTAACGAATGATGTGACACACCCTACCGAACCACAGGCAATTCTTACAAGGGGAACGATTGCAGATTAGGAGTCGTACCGCGGAGTGAAAGAAACTGTGTCCAATTTCCAAACTCAAGGGTTCCGTTAGGCGGAATGTATTGTAGTCAACTAGGTTTCTTATCTGTTCGCTTTGTCGTCAAGTTTATTTCATCGTATTAGTTGACATGCCTATTGTATGGACTACATATTTATTTTAATTCAATGACTAATTCTGCTTTCATAATGAATTAGTACTTGTTTGTTTGATGGGTTCAATAAATAAAGAAACAAAATTCTCGTCATTTCAGATCAAGTTTATGTTTATTACAGGATTTGTAAATAACTTCTACAGAACATGTGCTTTTCAATGTCAAGAAACACATACATTGCTGGGATAATCAGTGAACATAATAACGGTTCGGAAGATCGGAGATTCAAGTTTAGGTGCTGCGAAAAATCAGGTATTGGACATTTATTTTTCAACCATTTACACCATCATACCACATGAAAAACTGAAAATCCGTCTAAAAGAAATAGTCCTTAATGCTTTTCTTCAAAAATAGGGTACCATACACATCACATTTTTGTTTGTTTTGGAATACAATTCGGCATCTCTTGTTAAACATTAATCCTATGATAAAACATGCTACACCGACAAATAAGTGATCAATATGCTGAAGTTTCTCATTGACAACGTATTTGGTGAATTTAGAGGTAGAATATTCCAGTTGACGGCAATCAAACGGGGAACCAACTGTGCGCCACTCCCTGTCGGCTTTTCCTTATTTTCTCATCAGTTGAAGTGCCTTCAGTGAAGATTTATCATTTAATGTCACATGCAAGTAAATTTATAATATTCTTTCTATTAACATTCCGGATTGGGTCCCATTAATATATCCTCCTGAACTAGAGATTAAAGAAATCACATATACAACTTCCTCCGCCTTATTTTTAGACATGTACCTCGAATTTGACTACAGCGTTCATCTCAGAATCAGAATCTACGACAAACGAGACGATTTCAATTTTGAAATTATAAATTTTCCTCACCTTAGCAGCATTATTCCAACTTCACCTGCGTATTGAATATACATTTCTCAACTTGTACGATATTAAAGAAATACTACTCAGACTTTGTTAAACATCATCACTGTCATCAAAAAAACTAATTAATAAGTCAGTGTTGAACTGGATAACAATGTAGCATCAGGTGGGTGTTTTGTCAAAGATCGTTTCGTCCTATTTCTCAACTCGTTGATCGGAAAATGCCAAGACTTAATAGATGAATATTCGGTGTCTACTTCACAAATAATAGAGGATGGTCTTGAGTTATAGATTTTAGGTGATGGCTCAGTGTATCATTTTAATAACTTTACAGTTTTCTTCTCATTTGTCTTTGTACTGTTATGCTACTTCTGGTCGCCAGTCTGGTATAACTCTTGACTTGGCTCGTTATTTGTGCATCCAGCTTTCGGATTTTTAGCTTTGGACGTTCGGTTCGGAGGTGCGATTCGGACACATGAGGTATTTATAATATTGTTTTCATTTTGTAAACCCTTGTATATATATTCGACTTAATTTGTATTTTGTCAGGAAAGTGTAAATGTTATTATGTTTTACTATACTGTACGTAACTATCAACTACAAACATGTTTTTTGTTGGCGTTCCTGTCAGATTTATTTGTATGTTTGTTTGAAATGTTAAGTCAATTGTGTTGCATGTCTGTGATGTATGTTTACACAATTGTGGCTGCTTGATCCCAATTATTGTCATGTTAACTAATTATTTTTCTGTTTGGGTTGCTCATCCAATTTGTTCAATACACGGTAAAATAAACAATTGTCACACAAGTGGGAGGTTCAGCTAGCTATAAAATCAGACCAAACCCATCATTTTCTTTGGAAAATGCCTGTGCCAAGTCTTACATATGACAGTTATTTTTCATTCGTTTCATTGGTTGGTATAGTCGAGCGTTGGATTATGTCAGGTTTTATGGACTTCCCTCTTTCTGATTTTACCTTGGAGTTGGGTATTTCTCTTAATTCTTTTTTGCACATCTTATTGCAAGTATATCTCAATAGATTTGATATATGTTGATGAAATGTAAAAAAAACCCAAATCTAAATACTCGATAAAGTTTTTCAATAAACGACCCCGTGTTATATCTTGATGGTCTAATGGTATTGTGCTTTACACGAGACACCACGACGATCACGGGATCAATCAGCTACTTGACTGAAAACAAAGCCTATTACATTTACATTAGTATTTAGAATAAATAAAGGAGAACCTATGTCTGGTAGGTTAGGAAATTTGACAAAAGAATTTCATATTTCCGAATAAAATCTGAATATAAATATGTCCGTATTTCTTAAATAATCGACGCGAAGATAGGCATATTAGTTCACCTTTTGTTCCGAATTTATATGAAGACGGAAAAAAATCAACAAATAAACAGTCAAACCTCGGAGTGAAATAAAGAATATCACATGAACTTCAATCAGGGCAGATAATAATAGAAATATGTTCTGTAGAAGGAGTGTTCAAATAATGCATTAGTGGACCAATTGACAACTTCAGCATACATATAGCAGATAAAAGCTATGATAAGCTTGCCTCCTGGACCTACAAGCAAACGTTGACACTGTTTCCCCGACAAGACATGCGCTGTAGTACATATAGAAAGAAACCAATTTAAAATCATATGATATTTCAAATGTAAAAAAAAAGGTGAATATGTTTTTTATTAGATTTGCTAAGTGTTAGTAGTAACCACGTGTACATAGACTTTTTTTTAAAAGAACATCCTTTATTTTATCCGAATCTTCAAAAAATGTAAGAATCGTCAATAGTCATCTCTATCTGAGCCATCTTCGCTAGCCCCTTGGCTAGCGAAGATGTATCTGAGCGTGTCTTAACCTTTGTTTTTGCACAATTGTATAATATCAACTATAGCTACACGTATCTAATAGGCTTTCTGATTCAATTTCAGCCTCGTCATTGGCAAATTCATGTTATTACACATCGAATACTGCCTTGTTAGGAACTTTTGCCAGGACAGCGGAAATTGGCTTTATCTTAAAGGGAGTTATTAGTCAACATTCAAATAAACACGAGTAAGTTTATTTAAATTTTGAACATCACAGCTGTGAACCTAATTTGAAAACGAAGTATTTCTATTTTTTTTTTAAAACTGTTTAAGAAAGGAATGTAAATTATCATTTTAAATACTGGACCATGTTGTTGGAGGAAGATTATCACGTAATAATGATGACAAATCTTAACTTCGAAAAATGACATATGCAAATACACAGTCTTTCCTACTTTGTAGAGAAGTAAAACTGCAAGTCATTGGTTCATTCCACCTATTCCCACATTTCAAAATCGGGAGAGAAAAATTAAAATTTCACTTGGAAATAGGTGGAAAACCTGTGCAAACAAAGGATTAATACTGTATAAACATTTTTTCATTAAATGTTAATTGATAAGTGTTGATTGAGGACAGGTAAATGGGTTATTTTTGTATGTTTAAATTCTTATTTTTAATTGATATATGAAAGAAATAAAAACAAATGATAATAAATTATTTTATTAATTTTATAACAGCGGTATGCTACCATGACTACTGTTGCCATATTTTGACAATGTTACCTATTATGTCTGTTTTGTTCACGCATTGTTGTAAATATAATGGAATTTGATGCGACTGTCATAAAAGTGAGAGGTTTAACGCTATAAAACCAGGTTCAATCCACCATTTTCTACATTTGAAAATGCCTGTACCAAGTCAGGAATATGACAGTTGTTGTCCATTCGTTTGATGTGTTTCATCATTTGATTTTGACATTTGATTAGGGACTTTTCATTTTGAATTTTCCTCGGAGTTCGGTATTTTTGTGATTTTACTTTTTATATATAACACTAATTTTTCAGTAGACTCAAGCAAGCATATATATGAAACACAATACATAAGCACTAAAAAAGATCACATATTATAGACAATAAATTACAAATTAACTGCACCTAAAGTCTGTTACGGTTCATAAATCTATTTGACGTGAAGAAGGTGGGGTGCTGCATCTCCAAACTGTACGTTTGTTATTTCCTGGTTACGGTGTCTAACCTTAAGATCTTCCAATCTGTTGTTGATTTGACGTACTTTCTCTTTTGGGCCACTCTCTTCCCACTGGTTGCGTACTGGATCATTGGCAGGTCGTTGAAAGCAGTTTAATGAGTTTAAAGATGTTTGGATGTGGGTGCTGGGCATGTTTCTTCAGCTTGCTATGTCATCCCTCTAGATGATTAGTAGTCCTATGTCCCTGTGCTGTGTAGTGGTTTCATAAGTGTCTGTTCTGTTCTACCCAGTATGTTGGTACATATAGTCTGTAAAGAAAATGTTGCTGTTAGTATCGACCTAATATATGCCTGTAAGGGCATTAAACCATACATCTTCGACCTCAACAGTATGTATCAGTGGAAGGACAGCGTCACGGCGTACTAGTTGATGAAATTTGTTTACTTGTATCATATGTATGGAACCTGCAGACTTGTTTTGTGCGCTTTTCTCCAGATACTTTGGGTAAGTTAAAAAAACAGCATTTTGCGTTGATGCCAAGCTCGGAGTTCAACAAATAAGTTTGTAGTTCTCAGCTTATCAGATATTTTGTCAGTTTAGTAGTTGACCATCAATTATTGTTTCGTTTTTCCAGCTTGGATAAAGTCAGTTGAAATAAATCAAACCTGATTGCTGTCGGTTCAGTATTCATGCTTGGGGTAAAGTGAACAGTTTTCACCCATTATTCCATATCTAGGCGTAGCCGACGGGTTATTCTCTTCCGATCTTAGAATAAAGTGTTCAAGGGTCAAAAAGAGAGGCAAAAGATACCAAAGGGACATTCAAACTCATAAGTCGAAAATAAGCTGACAACGCCATGGCTAAAAAAGAAAAAGACCAACAGACAAACAAAAGTACACAAAACACAACACAGAAAACTAAAGACTGATCAACACGAACCCCCCAGACTCTGTGGGTGATCTCAGGTGCTGCGGAAGGGTAAGCAGATCCTGCTCCACATGTGGCATCTGTTTTATTGCTCATGTTGGTACAAACCCGGTAACAAGCCTAATTCGCTAGGTCACATTCGGGGAAAAGGGGACGGGATTGTAGTAACGACATTTAGAACATATCCGTTATCATTTGTGAAACAGATATTCCATAACGGTCAACCAACTCGTGATGGCGTCTGTAAAATTTACACAGGGATGATTTCAACTTCACCACTCTCGATTTAATAGCTTTGTTGTGAGCAGCAACCCTCTGTCAAGGAAATCATGATAGGAAATACAAGCCCTAGAATATCGTTTCAACTGGGAGATATATACTCCGTATACAGGCGCTGCTAAAATGTTGCTACATCAAAAATGATCTCTTTGATTGGATTCCATATCAATAGTTCTATACAACTTATGTTTTCATGACTTTAGTTTACTTGAAAATTGGCCCATTTGATATTATTTCTTTTTTGTGCGAATGAAATAGTTGTTTTATTGCGCAAATGAAAAAGAGGTGGCTTAATGATTTTTTTTGGGCGCAAATGCAAAACACCGTTCACATAATAATGTCGATCCGTCGTTCGAGAAAACACGAACATTTAACAAAACAAAAATGTTGTTAGAGCATTATGCATTTTGATGATGTCTTTTTCAGATTTTTTTGTAAGAATAAACGTTTTTTTCTAAGTTACGTAAATATTCCCTGTTCATTAAACGAGATATTTTGTATCTACGATGTCCACACTTATCCTGAAATAATATTAAATTGTCGTAAGTTTACCCAGAAGAATACATGTACTAAGGATGAAAAAGTTTAAATGTCAGTACTATTATATGAGAAAAAGAACAATGGACTATGCATTTGAAGATCTATTGAACTGTTCAGTCAGTTTTTTTTAATTAAACGTCTCTTTTTGTTGTTATTTTGGCATGTAAAGGCGTTGAAAGAAGTACATTTGTATAAATCAAGTGTGCAATCATGGATACTTTCTTGTATTAGGGCCCAAAGCATTACTTTAAGTCATTTCATGATTGTTGTCTGTCAGTCAAAACGATTGACTTTGATAATTTATTTAGTCTCATCTCTCAATAACATAATAATCTTTATTGCAAAATTACGTCCATAAGAATCAAGCAATAACAAATAAATCACATACATACATACAAGAACAAAACAAATAAATAATTGCATTGATACACACATGTAAGATTTGATTTAGTTAATCTACATAATATCATGAACCTGTCTGACATCGGTCTGTCTCCCTCAGTTCGAAGTATTGTTCAATAAAGACTCCAAATGTAACAAACAAGTTCAGGGGTAGGCTAAGAATGCATTCTTATTATTTATCAAAAGTATCAAGATCTTGCAATGATGGCACGCTGTCATTTAGATGAGCAAAAACAATCTGGGCGTCATCATCTCGGACATCAATATTCCTCTGTATGACAATAAGGTTTAAGCTTTCCATAAAGACAAAGTTTAGATGAGGAATCAAATTTTGAAATTTTGTCTAAAGTTAATTTCTTGCATTTACCTGAAACAATTTTTTTTTAATTTACAGTTTAACAAATAATTTATATATATGGCAACATTACATTAGTGTTGTATATAAATATGAAATAGAGAGCCATTCTATACAGAATTATAAGAGACTATAAAGTTTAAACATTACAGCAAATTTGTCTTTTACGAAAAAAACATATTTATATGAACATTATTTACAGTATAAAATATTTCTACGTCTATTTGAAACAGAATAAGTTTTGTTTCAGCTACGAATCAAATTTTTATCATTAAATAAAAACACTAAATTTGGTTCATCATAATAACACATAACATTATTAAAATACTTTGCTTCATCAATTAAATTTTGCCTTTAATCGTCATATAATGGACAATATTGGTTTGATATTCTAAAATATCTTTACAGTTATTAATGATTCATATGCAAAATTTATGTAATGTATTGATATAAACAACAACAAACATACACATACATATATATATATATATACACTTTTTTGGTCTTTTGGAAAATGTTGTTTGTGCTGCATATATATATATATAAACAAGTCTAAATTGAAAACAACGTTCAAACCTATGATTGAGTTGGATAAAAACCGCAATTTTTATACGTGTGCATGCAAAACAAATTTCTTGGTAGAGGAGTCTAAATACAGCACAAACAACATTTTCCAAAACACCAAAAAAGTGAAAAAGTATATTTAAACAAAACGCATTTGACTAACAGGTCGAACAACGGATGTTCTTAAACCCTGCTGACTGCCATATATGTATATAAATCAGCAACTCAATACATGAATTTTATTTAGAAATAAAGTTTTAAGTTGCACCATATATACGATGTTTTATGTACTTTCAGGGATCGTATATTTTGGTTCGAGGTTTGTAAACTGAGCTAAGAAGAATATTTCAAGTCTACCGATGAGAGCTTCTATAATAGTCGAATATAAAACATTAAAACAGAATAGCAAAGAAGATAGCTACACCATTTTGATTACTATAAGTACTTCACAATTAACAAAAATATTTTAAAGATAAACATAAATATCAAATTCATATGCCTTATGTCTTCAAGTGGCATTATTCATGTTATTCGCAATAATAAAAACCTCTCAATAATTTCTAAATTTACAGTAATTTGTCACCTTATTTAATACCTTTGAGAATGTCAAACCTTCAAAATTTTACTGAAGTGAGAGGAGGGAATGGAGCGGTGGATCGGCAATGCTTGGTTGGTAATGTCGAAAAAGTGTGAGGAAACTTTACAGTTTCCATCCCGTTTTTGGATGAAGAGAAAAATCAGATACAGTATGGTTTCTGATACATATATTTATAAAAGTCGCAAATATTATAAAAAGGTAATCATAACGTATGATCCAGATTGCTGTGAAAACTACACGTGTTTTTAATTATTCGTCTTTATTTCTCCCCAAAAACACAAATTTTGGACACAAAATATATTAAACATGAACAAAACCATAAAACAATAGCCGGTCAAACAGAACAGTCATCGTAACGTATGATCCCGATTCCTGTGAAAACTACACGTGTTTTAGGTATTCAACTTTATTTCTCCCCAAAAACACAAATTTTGGACACAAAATATATTAAACATGAACAAAACCATAAAACAATAGCCGGTCAAACAGAACAGTCAGTACTGTCTATGTGTAACTTTTACCCAATATCATAAAATAAGCAATAAGAATTGTGTTATTTATTATCCATGCCAATACCGAAGGTTTGTCTGTTTTAGGTGTCAACGAAATATATTTAGACCATTTTGAGCCAAAATTTACTTGCATATTAGTTTGCATTAAAAATTGAAGATTTATGCGCTCCATAGTATACTTATTTGAGATTTCAAGAAAACCAAGGGTCATTTTTAATAGTACAAAAACATGTAGTTACCGTCGGAACGTTGGTATTTCGCTACAAGACTCTAAACATTGATTGAAAATTGTCATGTATAAAGGTGATATATGTACAATTCAGGATGTATATGGTTTATATGAAGTTAAACTTAATGTAAGATATATTCCAGAAAGCTGTGAAAATGGAAAAATTTGGTTGAATAGATAGGGATATTGAATTAGTGGTCTGAAACCTTAACGGACGGTGACCACGTCTTTAGCCGCCATGTCAAATTGAGTTCTACTACATTAAGGTTGGCTATTGGGTCATTAAATTTTCGTTTACAGATCTTTCAGCACCGTTGAAAAGTGAGATAACAATTAATATTTTCTTTATATTTTATTTGAGTATATTATTGTCGTGTAAACGAAGGACTTTTATGTAAAGATTGTAAGTCAGCGGTTCAGTTAGCATATCAATAAACTCTCGAAAAAATGTGTTAAATACATAGAATTCAAACATCAGTCTATCTTTTTCTTTCAATTTAAACACTAATAGAACCCCAGGATTCCATTCATGAATATCACGCATGAAAAGATCACAGAGAAATCGACAAAGTACACGTGGTTAGTACATAGGTTACGAAAGAAGGTACAGCAACATGGTCTATCGTAGTGTGAACCGAGGGAAATTTTCTAACGGACCAATCATAAAAGAATTATTTCAAAAGTATCGTGGGATCATCTGTCGACTGATGTTTTATGTTAATGATTATGCTACAGTGGTGTAAAAAGGGTTTACTTAGCCACTTTAACAAGCTCTTTATTTTACATTTGTAAATACGGCGGCGCTTCAATGTTTGGTTTTAATAATAGTATAAAAGGCATTATCCTATTTATTCAATTAGTCTTTATAATTCATACCTGAGAATATAATTAAAGTAACAGTTGTTTAAGTTTATGTCTTAAATACTTCTTATGTGAAAACAAATTATTTTATCATTAAAGTTACTCAGGAATAATAAAACTCCTCCAATTGGTGATTTTGTTTGGGTGATAACTATATAATGCATTATCAGGTTGTAACATTGTTAATGATATATGTATACAGACTATGCAATGCTATTTATTTCACAGGAACCTTGGTACAGGATTTGAATATTGTTTAGGTTTTTTGCATTGTTTGCACTGAAGATTAAAAATTTCTATTTTCAAATCAAATACTTAACACTATTATGCATGTCCTACATTGTTTTGAATGAAAAAGTAAAATAATAAAAATACCGAACTCCAAGGAAAATTCAAATCGGAAAGTCCCTTATAAAATGGCATGAAATTTATCATCTCTGACACATTGTCTCATTTTACTATCCATACTGTAATAAAAAGAACTATATTCAAAATCCTCACCTGCCTGTAATTTACCGACCGAGGTCCTTACGACACGTGATTGTAGGAGGACCCTTATCATGTACGCTCGAGATCAAAAGGTTTTATGTCTGCAAATTCATATTAAATTTCCCGATGCATAAAGTACACATCAGAGGTAAAAGTGAGATAACAAAATATACTTTGTTTATATATCATAAAACAATATTACAGTGAACAAAACATGAGTTTATATCAAATAAAAAGCGAGGATTAAAAAAAGGAGGGAGGGTAATTGTGTTCCGATTAGATATCTTACAATATAAAGAAACGAATTTCTTTTTAATATAAGGAACGAATAAAACCCTTTGTTTCTTGTTTTCTCCACGGATGCAATCAAGTATATTTTCAATCAAAAACGTATCATATGAATGTCACTTCTGTTAAAATTCAAACCTCAGTATGTGGTAAATCTGTTATTTCAAATAGCCTTCTCTTTATTTTTGAAGGGCAGCTTTTTTCCGTTAGTAAAATAACGGATTAATCATTTCTGGTTGACATGTCAGAAAAACCGTAACTATAGAACAAAAATGTGCATAACACGTATGTTCAAAGGGAAATAACTATAGTAATGTATTGATCAATATTTATCTGTCAGGTGAAATGGAAAATGAATGGAATTTCATTGTCAAGCTTTTAAAATGTTCGAATATAGCTAAATAACCACAGATTATTAAGAAAAAGGTACGTTTTGTTTTTGTTATTTTCAATATTCTAACATGTATAGGCTTAGTCTAAATTGGTTTACCAACAGCTAGTTCATGTATGCCACTTAATTGTACACGTTGCATCCTTTTTGGTCATAAAGCTTTTCAACTGTTTCGGTTCATGTAAATCCTTGGCTTTCAATATTCGGCTTTGAGCGTTCCAGATGAAGGTAAGTCCGGAAAAGCGCTTCGAACGCATGACATTTATAAAATGTAGTTTAAAGCACTGGGTCGATACCGCTGCTGGTGGACTACCAGTCCCCGAGGGTATCATCAGCTCAGTAGTCAGTATTTTGGTACTGACATGATTTATAACAAACCTTGAATTGAATTCATAAACTATTACGAAATAAAGGTTTTAACTCCCTCAGGCAAAGTTGACCTTAGATGGAATTGGCTATTATTATTATTTTTTTAGGTCATATAGCTCCTCAATTGTTTCGGTTCTTGTAAATCCTTGACGTTCAAATAATCGGCTTTTAGCGTTCCTGTTAAAAGTAAATCATGAAAAGCGATTCGGTGACCTTATGATTATTTTATATCATTAAAAAGGAAATTTATGTTTCAGCTTTATAAAGAAAAAAATATGGGATTTAAAATTGGAGATTTGATGATTTCAAAACAATTTGAGAACGTTTTCGCCAATTTCATGTGCTTTCTAAACAAAAGTTCACCTATTTTTACACATACTATCTTCTCAGTAGACTATTGCCATATTCGGCCATAGATGTATGCTATCACAAAGAACAACAACAATGTGTCCATAGTACATGGATGCCCCACTTGCACTATCATTTTCTATGTTCAGTGGACCGTGAAATTGTGGTCAAAACTCTAATTTGGCATTACAATTAGAAAGATCGTATCATAGGGAACATGTGTACTAAGTGCCAAGTTAATTGGACTTCAACTTCATCAAAAACTACCTTGACCAAAAACTTTAACCTGAAGCGGGACAGACGGACGAACGGACGGACAGACGAACGGACGGACAAACGAACGGACGCACAGACCGAAAAACATAATGCCCCTAATTGGGGCATAAAAAAGAGGGTTCATCCAACAAGCGCCTGTGAATAAAATTCAACATCAATGACTACATTTACTCTTCATGACGACTTAACAAAACATTTGCAAAATGCGATGGAGTATCAAAACAAAACAAATGTTAGCCTTGATTTCACTCGTAATTTCATTTGTTTTGCATTATGATGCAATGATAATAAAAGAATGGAAGCATTGTAAAGTTTCTGCTTACTCAATGTTTTTGTGACTTCAAATTTTATGTAATGGAATCTCGCCTGACAAGAGACAAGAGATATCAAGTTCAGACAATTAACTTCATCATTTAATAAATTCTCAGAAATGGGTATAATTTTGATTTTAAATTCAAAACTTTTATTTCAATTTTGTAAAACAAAAGAATTTTTTAGCAAGTCTAACATTATTCACCTCGCAAGTCTCATCGACCATTTTGGCGGGAAATTAACATTTTCGTTAAGATGAAATTCCTTCGACTACTGTGTCGATATTTCAATGTATTGATATACTTTGATTATGGATAGTACAATTTTCAATGTTAAGATAAACATAGACTTTTTTACTCTATCTTGAAAAAACTGAAGAATGTAATACCCTAACAATCATTTTCGTTCAGATATCCACATTATCAGGAAATCAACGTGTCAGGAAGCATTAACAAAATTAAAGTGCTTTCCAGTTTATTTTACATCTCTGATCAAGGATGTACATAATAGCACGAAAACTACCGTTGTTTATTGCTTATTTTGGCGGAATTTGTTTTTTTTTTGCGCCTAGCACTTTTCAGATATTTCGCAGCGATTTGTCTTCGTGATTTTCTAACTTTGTTCTTGTATCATTACAGGAGGAAATCCAAGTTTGACATATTTGTCACTATCTGTATTTGCTATATCTATATTATTTTTCTAATAGCAAAACTTGCAAAATTAATTCGCTCGTGAATATGAA